ACTTTTTTTCAAAACCACACAAGTACTTTGGAAATAAAGTGATATTTATAAATTTAATTTTGTCTTTTTTGTTCACGTACAGTGTCTGTCTGCTGAGATACGCATAGGTGTGCAAATCAAAAGAAAGGAAAAAATGGAAACAAAGTCTTTGTCAATGGGGTGGCATGGATGGGTTGGGGGAGGACATGAAAATGGGGAAAAATAGGTAACGAGATACAACATGTACAGGTACAAACTCCCAATGATGAATGTCGTATTGTATACCTAACACGCACTACTAAACTTAACGAATAACAACAACAACGATAATAAAAGGAACGTGAATCACCCCCGGTGTGCGCAACATTGTGGAAAGTGAGCTGAGTGAAGCAAGGAGAGTACTGCGTTCAGATTCTCCTGTTTGTTCTGAGACCTCCAGAAAAATCACGTTTCCTCTGAGTTTCAACTGAGAAGGTTGGAAGAGATAATCTCTGTGCTACTCCGATGTCAATTCCTGTGATGTTCATAAAAACACCAAATCTATCAAGTAACGAGGTAAGAGACAGACACTGGGAGTCTTTCAGACTTTCTGTGGGCCACTTGGGAATCTTGCTACTTCTGTAGAATTGCTGGATGCCTAAGTAGCTCTTATTGTTCCATGGCTACAGAAACCAGAATCTGCAGAGCTGGCACCAGCATTACAACTGGCCCAGGTGGAAATGAAGTAGAAAGAGCAACGGCTGGGTCTACTCAGAAATAAACACTGGAATTAACCATCTGTGATGGTTCCCATCCATATGATTTCCTACAGGACAAAAGACAGTCATGCCAGAGCACTGGATTTTTTTACATAGTAACCATGCCTGTGTTGCAATAAATATGCTGAGCAGATTAAGAAAAAGAGTGAGCTAATTGAAACAGACACAGGAACAGGAAGTAGCTGTCCTCAGTAGTAAGTATTAAAACTCCCCAAGTTCGAAGACATTCAGACAGCAGCTCCCTAAGAACTTGACATAAAAGAACACGACTCAGTGGTCCTTCTTATTTTTGAAAACGAGTGAAACCAACAATACCAATCAAAAGAAATTTCTACATGAATCCTCTAAGAATGATGAAGTAGCAGCCCTCTTTTGACTAATTATGAATGCATTTGGCAATCAGAAGAAGAAGAGTCAAATAAGGGGGTGAGATTATCAAAGTCCCCTGAAATGAGGCTCAACTTGAATTGATCTTGAAGAACAGGAGGAAATATCAGAAAAAGTGGAAGTGAGCTTGGAGAGAAGGAGATACAAGGTATTATTTGTTTATAATAAAAATGCCAACAGGATATGGTTCAGGAAAGGTAATAACTTCAGCAAAGGCACAGAGCCGGGACTCAGTGTAAATCTTTGGGGATGAGAAAGATAAATTTTCCTTGACTGATGATCAGGAATATTGGGAAAAACCTGGAAGAATGAAGTGCAGTTGGATTTTAGGGCACATTCAAATCAAACAGTGAATTACAAACAATGCCACTATAAACATTCACTGCAGACAGCCAGTTTGCCCATCAGTTGGAAACTGGATAAAGAAGATGTGGTTTTTCTACAAAATGGAATTCTACTCAGCCATAAAGAATGAGAAGTTAGATTCATTTGCAGGAAAATGGATACATACTGAGGATATACTCCTAAGTGAAATAAATAAGTCACATGTGTAAATACCGAATAGTTTCTCTGGTGTGAAAAACTACAATAGTACATAAGATCCTAATGGGGTAATTGACAATGCGAAATAGGAAGAAAAGGGCTAAATGTGTAGGGTAAGTGGGAAGGGTAGGGGAAAGGTAATAAGGGCAAAGAAAAAAATGTGAGAAAATGAAAACATGGAAATAAAGTGTTTGCAAACGTGGAGGGGAGGAGGGGGTGAAGGGAGGGCAGGGACAAGGGGAAAAATGAGAACCAAGACCTGTCATGTAAAGGTACAAGATTCCAATAATGAGTGTAACTGTACTGTATCCCTAAAATGTACCAATAAACTAAATTAAGAAAAAGTGAAGTTTGGACCTATCTAGAAGCCAACATCAAGATTTTTTGATAGGTAGTCAAGGACAGAGAGGGACAATGTGAAAGCAGGAATTGAAGGTGTTAGCTCGAATTGCTCCTGAAAGAAGAAATGGCACTGGGATCTGGCTTGAAGACTGCTCCAGGAATCTAGACATCAGTCCTGAAGACCTACAGCCTGGGGTTATAGATTCAAGATATCTGTAAATCAAATGGATGAAGCCTAAATGGAAGTTAAAAATGTCAACTTGGAGAGATGACTCAAATTAATAGGTGTCAAATCTTAAGGAAAATTTGGAAAATTGACATCAATAATTGGGGGAAAAGTCTATACTTGTGTACCTCAGATCATTCCCTGTATATTTTTTTAAGAAAAGTGATATATAACCCTATTTTGGAACTAGATTACACTTTGGGTCTAGTTCAGGCTGCAAGGATTAAAGAGTGACTTTTCTTTGTTTGAGGTGAAACATCATTTTCATTACAGATTAAGGCAAGTTGGAAGTCAAAGGTCAACATGGAAGCCTAGTGAGCGTCCTGACTTTTCCGGCTCCAGTCAGTCATAGTAACTATGATATCACCTTTCCTGCAGTTCACACTCAAGTACAGAATCACCTATCTTGTGGCATGCCAAAGAGCATGAGAAAATGCATGCTTTATGAAAATGGACAGAATCCATGGCAAAAGAGAAAAGAGGGATCCAGGGAGATCTTTTTCCAAACTCTGTATGAGTCTGGGTCCAATCAGAGGACAGAAACTGCACAGTAACCCTTATTTTACTTAATAGCCTAAAGCAATAAGAGTAGTGATGCTGGCAATTTGGATATGCCAAAGTTTTAATATATTTTTCTTAATTAAAATGTAAAAGTTCTCCATTAAAGAAGAAAATAAAATTATATGATGAGATTGCTGAACTCCATGGTAACTTATTGTTAATCTCTAATAGTGCTTAATTTACAAACCAAACTTCATCACAGGTGTATGTATTTTTAGGAAAAATGTAAAGAGCTGGCCATGGTAGTAACTCCAGCTACACAGGAAACTGAGGCAGGATGATCCTAAGTTCAAGGACAGCCCAATCAACACAGTGAAAGCCTGTCTCAAAATAAAAAATGCAAATGGCTGGGAACATAGCTCAGTGTGAAGCCAGGGGTTCAATTCCCAATAGTGCCAAACAAACAAACAAAAACTTAACATATATAGGATTAAGAACTATGTAGGGTTTCAGACATCCACCGGGGGCCTTCAAATATAATCTCCACAGATAAAAAGGACTACTACTGTAACATGGATGTCATGTATACTTTCCCCACACCTCTTTCATTTTAAGGAAAATATCACTAGCAGAAGAATAAATATGTACATCACCAAAATCCAAAATGAACTAACATTTTGTTGTATTCAAGTGGAATCTTCCTTTTTAATGAAAATAAATATTTAGATGCAAAATTGAATTACCTTTCACTGCTATGCTTGGTCACATTTCCTTTCCTCTTGCCTTCTTGACAGAGGCAAGCATTTTTAAGAACTAAGTGTGTATCTGTCCAATTCATTCTTGGTAGTTTTATATAAAAAGGGTTTTTGGGCTGGGGATTTAGCTCAGTGGTTCCATCAGCTGCCTTCCAAGCAGGTCCTGAGTTCAATTCCTGGTAAAATAATAATAATAATAATAATAATAATAATAAGAAGAAGAAGAAGAAGAAGAAGAAGAAGAAGAA